TAATTTCCACGAATTCTTCATCGTCTGTGAACCAATGTGCTGTTCTCCGATGGAACTGGAATCGATTGACAACGCCGCCCCTGTTAACGGAATCCCAGAGTGATGGTTCCGTGGTCATATTACGCTCGATTCACCATGAGCATGCAACTTAGAGAGATTTGTTGCTGGGGGAACGTCCAGTACCGTTTTTATCATGAAAAGCCGAAGTCGAAATCGATCAGAGGTATCGAAAACGAAAATCTGGGCAAAAATTATGACAAACAGAAAGCAGCAGTAAACATAAACAACAACGGTGCAACGTCATTAAGTGTATGCGTTAAAGTTACACTGTTATTTTTTTACTTTAAAGCTTTCCGCTTGACAGTTAATATCATTAATATTTATACTAAAAATTATAATAACTACTAATTTAAGCAATTTTTTCATCAAATATTACTTCAGATCAAGTTGTACTTCCCCTAGGCTTTAAATCCCTAATCATATTTCAGTTATTTCAGTGTAAGGCTTTATAACGGCGCCGGTGGTGTAGTGGTAAGCGTGATTACCTCTCACCCCAGCAGGCCTGGGTTCAATCCCAGTTGGCGCCGCCGGGATGTTCTGAGGCATAACATCTCTGATCACGCCTTCCTTCGGATGGGAAGTAAAGCCGTTGGTCCCCGGTTCATGAGTTGATGGGTCGATAGGTAGGGTTCAGGTGTTGGAGCTGCCTTCCTGGCACGTCGGTAGCATTGGTGCTCAGCACGGAAAACAAGATCGACGGAAAAAACAAACCAAAGGAAAAAAAAAAGATCAAAATGATAACATGATTTGATATTTATGGAATAAATTTGTATGCCTTACAGAATTTGTTATCAAGATATTATCAATGATAACAAAATAAGTTATTTTTGTGATATCCAACGAGCAATTTTTTGCTATCATTTTTGTTATGTTGGCTGTAAATTCAACCATAATGATAACATATTCAGTTATCAAAAAGTGATAACCGGGTAATAGAACTTGTTATCAATTGGATATTTAACTTTTCTCGGGTAGCTACACGATTTTTTCGAAACCTCTCATAGACGTCTTATCAAATTAAATTCGAAGTTATAACCGGAATATGGACCCTTGGGATCACAGAATGGTTTATCGGAAGATCCAGATCGTCCGTAAAAGTGATCAATTAATGAATCTGATCCTAGCGCTCCGGGTTTTTTTTAAACCTCCTAAAGACGTCTTATCATAAAGAATTCAGAGTTGTGACCGGAATTTGAATCGTGAACATCTTCTAGTGTCTTGAAAAAATACACAGGCTAAAAACAAGATACCCTTTTTGTTTGTTTAATTGTTCAAAAAGATGCACATGATGCGTTAAATTTGTAACGTATAAATGCGTAACTGTCACCTACAAATGAAGTAACTATTATTTGAAGGCTAAAAGGTATTCATTTGAGGGAACAAAAATTCACTTTACTGATGAATGGGTACAGTTTTTAACGCTCATATGAGCAGCTGTTACTCACAAACGCAAAGATATATGAGTAACTTAAAAATACGTTACACGAGAGAACGCTGATGAATTTGAGTAACAGGAAATAAAAATTACCCATCCGTTGAGTATGTGCACTTTTTGGAGGGATGGGTACGTCTCCATAAAAATTAAAAATTGGATGCCTCGTTATGCTACGTACAATGTTTCGATTGCGTAGGGATCATTGAATCACAACCATATTTTCAAAACTAACATAACCTTTCCATGTCTTCACAATCGCAGGGGATAGGAAGGAAAATTTATCAAACCTCTACTTAGAAAGGTGCAGGAAACCAATACTACCTATAAGAGTCTCGATATTAATCGTCGGGTTGTGGGTCAAGGAATCAATTCATTCAAAAGATATGTGCACTTTTTGGAGAATTGATTTTTTTTAGCGTGTGAAATAGTAAACATATTTAATAGATTAAACTACAGTATACTTTAACTGGTTAACATATTCCGGTCTAAACTTCTAATTCATTCTGATGAGACGTCTATGAATGTTTTCGAAATCGAGTGATCAGGACTATCCCGTAGTCGCCAGAGTCCATATTCCGATCAAAACTCCGTATTCCTTCAGAATAGACGTCTATGAGTGGTTTCGAAAAAATCGCGGAGCTCTACGATCGGTTTCATTAATTGACCACTTTTACGGATGTTCCGGATCTTTTATGACCTACAGAAAACTGAGTGTTTCCAAGAGGTGGCCAATTATCTGCTTACAATCAGTATTTGGAATTAACAACCGGTGGAAACTAACGATTTTAAATTGGCCCACTACTTGACTAGCCTATTCCCAAGTACCCCATTCTAGTCAAAATTATAGTACTGCACTAGGTTTGTTTTGATTCGCTATGAAAGTTTGACAGAATTAATGAGGAGCTAGTGGATTTTACTGTGTTTCGAGGGGTACATCGATTAGCTTGGGACCGATGATAGTACCAGAGCTAAGCTAAAAAGTTGAGCACGTTTCTTCGGGACCTTCTGGTCTTAGAGTTACCTCTATGGTATTAGCTAACATTCCATATGGTACGTGCATTTGTTAATGCTGGATCGACCGTAACGGGCGAACACGAAATTATTGCTGGCTGTATCTTTATTCTTGCCCCGTAACGTGGGTAGATCACCTTTTCGTGGTACGTTACGGGATGTAAGATCTACCACCGATTCCTAGTCCTGACTACTTCAAACTAGGGGAACAGGATTTTTCAGTAATCCAAGGAACACATATTAGTCCTTGTTACTTTTTATGCCTTGTTGATAGTGACAAGACTCGGCTTTGTCTACCGAGGATGATCTTGAAAGAAGGAAAAAATGAGTCAGTTGTCTTCATCTATGTGATTCCTAATCTTTTATTCGTTGTTCCCTAGTTTGAAGTGGTTAAGACGAGGGCTCTGATGCATGGTCATTATCGGTGTCATACCTTAATTTTGTTGCTAAGGAATCCAATTTTGACTGACAAAGGGGCGCGCCTTTGGAGGGTGTTTCAACACGCCGAAGGGTATAAATAGCGGGACCTTTCAATTAGATCGAATACTTCATCATTTCTCAATAGTGATGGATAGAGATGAACTAGCCTAAGGCCAAATATATCATATTTACAATATGATCCATTCATGCCTTTTCCAAATGTTGCAATGGAGACCTGCAAAATATTACTTCACGCACCATCTAGCGTTGAAACAGGTCAGCAACATTCGTTCAAGGAGTGCGAATATAGCACTTATTACAAAAGTAAGAGTCAATTTTTTTTTCATTAATTACAATGTGTTCTTCATCAGCAGTTCTTTCGGTCGATGCGTCGTCGACTTTGGAAAGCAACCGTTTCGTGATGAGTGTGTGAGTGATGGCCACGTTTTGCATCCATTGCTGCAATGGAAGCACTCTGCTCCCCGTTGGCGATACTGCCATATATTGAAACCACTAGAAGCGGCTCCCGTTCTGATGAAGGAGGCTTTTTGGATAGCGGAAGATAAAGTGTTTATTGTGTTGTAGCTTTAAGATGTTTTATATAATGAACAATAATCATCGGCTCTGTAAAGTTAATTCGATTGAGCCTTATTAAATAAATATATGAAAAAAAATCTTGAATTATCAAAGAAAGATCTCAGTATGTACACTGGTTTAATAAAAGGACACTGTCCATGTAAATATCACTTGAAGCTAATATGAAAAGTACAAGAGGACACATTTCGATTATCTGGCATTGAAAAAAAAAACAACAAACTCTGAACACCTGCTATGCTCTTGTACAGCAATCTTCAATAAGAGGCGTAGAGAAACCTTTGATATTTGGAATTCAGTTCCCAGCCAAGCAGTGCAATTCATTCGAAATGTAATATCTGACTGGGAAAATGCTTTCGGTCAGTCTATGTCGGTCGCTTCGCAAAATGGTGATACGACATGCTGATAAAACATTATTAAAACGGGGAATATATCACAATCGATCTAAGTATTGGTCGCAGTGATCAAAATACCCAACACGGAAAGAAGCAGACATCCCGTAACGTACCACGAAAAGATGATCTACCCACGTTACGGGGTTACTTTACTTTAACTTTACTAGCTCTAACGTTTTAACTCTACTTTTTTTGTGGTTAGCAAAGAATGGGTTTGAGAGGAATGACTCGATGACATTATAGTGACAGCTCAATGGTTGTCAAAGTGCATGAAGTGATGCAGTTCCGATGCGGAGGGTTGGACGAAGCTGGACGACAGTGTTTAAAGACGCTCCAGAAAACGGTTTGCGTATGATATTTGACTGCCATAAAGAAGACGAACATTTATTACAGATGATCGTTAAAATTGAATCTCCTTTGTACGCCCTCAATGAACCAGCACCTACTAAACAAGTTTAATCCATAAATCCCTACCAAAAGTTCCTGATCCAAACTGGTTCCAGCTTCTGGTCTGGTGCAATTTTAAGTAGCATCTGAAATTTATGATAAATATAGTGAACTCTGTGTCAGTGTGAGTGTGTGCCGTCTATGGGTGGAATTATGATACCCCATGGGTCGTTTTGCCTCTATCCAAGCTGCACTCTTTTTGCTGCGAATGTAATTTTCATCGCTGTTTCTGGTGTTGATGCTTTTCTCGAACCACCTTCATCTCCAACGAAAAAGTACGATATGGATGGCGACGGCCGACGTTTGTGTGTGGTTTTCTTGTTGGTAGATGCTGCTGCTGCTGCAGACAGGAGCGGGAAAACGGTCCAACCCCATTCCTGATGATAAATGGTAGCATAATATTTCTCCACAACAGGAAACGCCTCTTTCTCAACACTTAATAGTTTAGTAGAGCTGGTTGCTTTTTTTGCCATACTGCGTGATTGTTCCTTTTCCGCTCCGGATTTCCTCTTGACACCATTGTCCCGCAAGGACCGTGGTTTGAGTTTGCGCTGGAAGTTTAATTAATTATTCCGTTTTTGAATAATTAAGCCTTTTTTTCTTACGATTGGTTTTCTTTTTATTCTCTATCTTTACAGTGCCCATGAAGTATGAAATCGGCTACCGTAGTAGTATCGATCTGGACACGGAGCAAACCGAAGCCCGGTACGACCAGGGCATGCTGGCGGACATCATAAATGACGAACGGCCCGAGATGCAGAAGGCTGAGAGCTGCGTGGCGGACAATTTTAAATACGATCACGGACAAAAGGTGGGCATGCAGCGAACGAAGAGTAAAACTATAATATGATTGAGGTTGCAATTAGTGGTGGATCGGAAAATGATTGGCACGGAAACTTGGTTGGGTTGTAGACAATGCCAGCCACCATCGATTTCCACGCAGGCGGATTATTTTTAGACAAAAGAAGAACAAGAACAATAGAACCAATGCACCGAATAATAATTGTTTCCATTTTCTCTTGATTTTCGCAGATTCTGCGATATGATCCGTGCGAAATTTGTCTCTGCATCGACGGAGAAATTTTCTGCTGGTGGAAGCAGTGTGGTGAGTTTGCTTTTATTTTATGATTGGTAGGTATTTTCAGCATCCATTGCATCTCACAGACGTTGATAGGTATGCCCCATTCATTTTCATGATATCTTGAACATCAATTTCCACCATGCATGAATCATACCACACTCTCCTATTCAAATCCATGCCAATCACTCACGTTTCGATGTTCTTTTCCCTCTCGACAGATGTCCCATCCAAACCGGATCTTAACGATAGTCCACTTGGCAGCGGCGTTCAATTGACCACACCAGTGGCACCGCAGTCACAACCGGCTGCTACGGATGTTGCTTTCGCGTCATCTTCGACAAGAACGCCTCCCCCGTCGAGATCGACCGATGATGTGACCACCACTACCATTACCACACCAATATCTTCTAGCGCAGCTCCGTCATATCCGGATCAACCGGACAACGTCAACGTCAGAATAGTTCATCCTCAACCGCCACCGGAGAACATCCCGCAAAACATTCTTTCCTTTCCACAGTCGCCTCCCATCATGATGTATCGGCCGGCGATGGGTGGGAAAAATGCAACCAGTCTGCTCGGTGCTACCACTGCCACCGAGCGGAACAAACACGGTGGGCCGCTGAAAAAAGTCAAGCCACTACATCTCGCTAATGGTGCCAGTGGTAAAAAGCCATTCCGGAAGTCAAAGAGCAAAGGGTACGTGATAAACTACGGCCACATCGAGGGCGGATTGGAAGACGGAAGTCGGACCCGGGTGCTCGCGGTCACTGAGAGGATTCCTGCCGACGGGATGCGAATTTTGAATGATGATGGCCGTGCTTTCCAGGGAGGAGAAGGAGGAGGTGGACTCGGTATGGGAAGCAATGACGACGACGAAGATGAGAACGAAAGTGACGATGAAGACCATGACGAAGGCGATGAGGAGGATGACGATGAAAGTGGGGAAGCAGAAGGGCATAGCAATTTGAAAGCCGTTGGAAATAGTGGTAAGTTATGATGGGTTGTTTATTACTGTTATATTCCGCGCAACAACATTCAGCGTATCAATGCAAATCACAAACAAATAAATCTCTTCCCAGGCGAAAACTTCGGCGGCTTCGGTTTCGGTATGATCAAGGAACCGGAAGACGACAAACAGCAGCACTACATTATTACTTCCTCTGGGCACGTGGAAATGTTTGACGACAACAGTATGGAGGCAACGGAAAATGCCTTCGGTATGAATCGATTGCCCTCGATGCAGCACCAACAGCAACCCCTAGGCTCGACTACCACCATCCAGCCGATGGCATTGGTTCTCGGTGGCACACTGGACGACGACGAACAGTTCGGCACCAATCAGGCCACTAGTTCATCGGCCCGAGAAGGTGACAGTGAGCCGGACAGCAATAGTAACCGAGGTGGACCGATTCCGCCCTTGATAACATTGACAACCAATGTGACACAACACTCGAATTATTCAAGTCGGTTTTCGGCGGATGCCGGAGGAAGTCCACCGTTGACACCGTTTGCGTCTCTGTCGTCGTCGTCATCGTTCGGATCGGTTATTGATGTGCTCAATTCGACAGTGGACGGTGACTATCTGGACGATAATCAAACGGAATTGATCTACCCGGCGGTGCCTGGTTTGAGCGGTGGCAGCAGTAGCAGTGGCAGCTACCGGAGGACAAGTGGGGGAAGGGATGGAGACGGTGGTGGAGGAGGTCTGGTTAAGGCGACAACGACGACGTCAACCGCGAGTAGTGTGACGGCGGATGCTAGCAGCACACCGGAGCTACATTGCGTTGTGATGGGTTAGTGTGTGAATGGCAGGGATGTAGTTGGGAGAGAGTTTCCTGTGGACAAAGATGTCATAGTCAAAGAGTTTCCGTTTATTAAAGAAATTCGATGAGAGTTGGGATGATTCGAAGAGAATTTTGAAGAGAACTCTACGGGAATTGTGGAATTGCAATATCAGAAACGAGCAGTAGCTTGTGCGAGCCGCACTGATTTCGTTCGTATTCTCATTGCGTCATCTCTTCTATTTTCTTCGTTGAATGCTGAATTAAGCAAAACAGACAGCTGAGCGTAACATGAATAGGGCTGACAAATGTCATTTTCAATGAAAGATCTTACGCGATATTTACAGAGATACCTACTTCTGTCACTATCATTGGATGGAAAAACGATGATAGAGATTTACTTCAAAATCTCATCGATTTTTGCGTCATGACAGAACGTGACAGTATTGTTATCATCGCTATTACTAGCTCATTTATTGATATTATTGTTACTTGTACAGCGGAAATTTTAAAAATATATTCACTCTACCGATTTCATACTGTTGCTTGTCTTAATTTATCTACATCAGTTAAAATGTTGATACCAAAGCCGTATGACAATTATTCTCATGAATGCTAGATCATTGGAAAATGACAAGAAATCTCATGATAGGTAGTTTCGTCTCGTGATAGTGAGAGGACCTGTTTTCTCATTGTCACATGATGGTTGTGATATTTACCAGCTCTGAACATGAATGATTTTGAGTGTAGTAACTACAACTACACGAGTAAAACGCGATGCGAAGAATGACAAAAAGTACTACCATAAAAAAAATCGGTTTTCATTCGTGGACAATACAGTCCTGGAATCACAAAGCCGTAATCTTCGATGCCACGTGAAGTGAAACTTTTATGGGGCACTGAAACATTTTGAATCTTGTTGGTGGGTATGCAATCTGCCAAAATGTTCACAATGGAATGCCAACAATGTGCATCAAGACGTTAAATTATGATTCACTTGAAAATCCAATAATTATCATCGTCAACCAATAATAAGCATTCACAGATTTGCATGCTGCGACCCAGGTTTTGTGGATGGATATCCGGTATATAATGTTGTTGAATGATGGACGTAGATTTTCCTCGTCAAACGTCTTTGCTTGACAATCGTGGAATACACACAAAACAAACAGGTTGCTATGTCACCGTGCATTGAATATTGAGCAACTCGAGTTACTCAGAGTTACTCAAAATTTACTCCAGTACGACTCATTATCAAAAGCTGTCTTACCCCTAGGTTTGAATGAATGTTTTGGTTTGAAATCGCATGCAAAAATGGGATTGAGGATGACGCGGGAAGTGGCTGGTGTGCAAAATTGTGGTGTTTTGTGTTCATATGATAATAGAAGTCCTGTGTTTTAGGGTTTTATAATACCACCAAAGGCAGTCCAGAAACCTAGCCTTTCATGATGTGAAAAGCAACGGTTTATCAGCGGCCGGAAAGAGTTGGAACCGGTGGGGAACATTGTTAGAGACCGTATATAGAGAATGATGAATATGACAAAATTTACTCCAGTACGACTCATTATCAAAAGCTGTCTTACCCCTAGGTTTGAATGAATGTTTTGGTTTGAAATCGCATGCAAAAATGGGATTGAGGATGACGCGGGAAGTGGCTGGTGTGCAAAATTGTGGTGTTTTGTGTTCATATGATAATAGAAGTCCTGTGTTTTAGGGTTTTATAATGCCCCCAAAGGCAGTCCAGAAACCTAGCCTTTCATGATGTGAAAAGCAACGGTTTATCAGCGGCCGGAAAGGGTTGGAACCGGTGGGGAACATTGTTAGAGACCGTATATAGAGAATGATGAATATGACTTCTGTGGTTTGTTTTGTGTGAATTGCAGAATTATTTGAATGAAGGGTGCTAATGAGGTCTGATTAACTGCAGCTTTCTCTTGAGCCCACTCTAGAACCTACATTTCGTATTTAGATCTATAAGTGAACTGCTGGTCTATTCAATTAGAGGATGTTCATGAATATACAGTCAAACAGCACGTAATGCTGTGAACAACTTCAATGACGCAGTGCTCGCATTTGATTGACGACTATCCAATGCCTACGAGATTGTGCCGAAGGTGAGCCGATGGATGTGCCCATGCTGTGCCGAATCTAATTTCGGCACAATGTGCTGAGTGACTTACCCCTTGGCTGAGTAAGAGTTTTAAAGAAAGAATCACTTTTTATTTTCTAGCTTTAAACATAAATTGACACATTTAAATTGGTATTAACTTGGAGAACAGTATTATATTGTAACAAATACACGTGAATCGTAACGCAAATACTGTTAAACCGCTGTTGTTGTTTCAACTGATTTAAATCACTGAGCAAACAAAAAATATCTCACTCGCATATTTAAATCGTTTGTGCTTGGTTTTTTGTTCGGCTGCCATTAAGTTTATTCTTCGTTCCTTCTACTGCTGTCAGTTTCGAGTCTTGATGCAGAGTCGCTTGGTTGGAAGAATGTATACTCGATCGACAATGTGTTTATAAGTGAGGATTGCTATTTTGTTTCCGTGGTGCTCGCGTGATTGAATGAATTTTCCCATGCTTGTTCGTAATGTGGTTTAGTTTTCGGAATTTTCCTCATGTGACCTCAATGTTCCGGACAGTCATGGAACTGCGCTTAAGTTTTTAGAACCTTCTCGACGCTGTCAGAACTTTTCTTAAGATCATTGATCTTACGTGAAGTATTCTAAAATTTTCTTGATGTTAATGTAACTTTATTAGATTAAGATCAAAAACTTCACCTCTGATCTTCATCTAAGTTCAAGAAATTTTCTAGAAATGTATGGATCTGCTTTTATGTTCTCAAAGGGACATATAAACTTCCCCAAAGTACTGGATTTTCCTGTAGCTCTCGGAATTTTGTTTTTAATTTTGCTAATGTTCTTGGAACATCACTGAAGTTTTCAAAATAGCTCTGAACTTCCTTGTTTTTTTTTCTGGAGTTCCATGAACTTCTAAAAACTTCTAAAAATTTTCAGAAATTTTCCTGTAATATTAATTTATTTATTTATTTATTTATTTATTCTATATAATTTCAACTGACTTCAAGTCGAAATGAAATATGGGATGGGGAAAAGCTTATTTGAGATAGCACATTTGACTCAAAAAGACGTAAAAACCCCATATCTTTTCACAAAACAGTACACATTAACGTTTTAACAAGGCATTATATGGTATACAGATTATAAATAAAACATAAATAAGTTCTTAAAGTGAATCAATCAATAAAACAATTTTTAGTTGGCAACTGCAAACAGGTCACTTGTCAGATGGCAGGAACCAATGTCGTGTAGATGATGGCGAATCATGAAACAAAACAAAAACACCAGGTAGCACATTTATTTTCCTAGTTAATTATTTGACAGATTGCATTATTTTTCGATTCAATATCGATGATTATTATTAAGTTGGCGTTGCAGAGTGGTGGCAGAACTATTGAAGTCAAATCTGCTGGCGATTTCGTTAAAACTAAGTGTCATGAATCTGATTGGATCATGTTGTCCATAACGAGTGTGACGATTAGCTAAATGCAAGAAATTGCGTCGTCTCAAAGGTCGTTCTGGAACATATATATTCAATTCAGCGAGAATATCTGGGGCGTCAATATCGTTGGTCAACATCTTAACCACGAATACAGCTTGCATAGTCGATCTTCTTTGTTCCAGGGTATCAATTCCCAGCAGCATACAGCGATGTTCATATGGAGGAAGAATCAGTGCGTCGTGCCAGGGTAAGTGTCGGAGGGCTAAGCGCACAAATTTTTTCTGTACAGCCTTGAAGCGATCGATGCAGTTTCTATTGTATGGACACCATACTACCATAGAAGTAACTCTTAGACTAGTAGTCCCGAAGAAACGTGCTCAACTTTTTGGCTCAGCTCTGGTACTCTCTTCGGTCCCAAGCTAATCGATGCACCCCTCGAAACATAGGAAAATCCACAAACCCCTCATTTTATCTGTCAAACTTTCATAACAAATCAAAACAAACATTGTGTAGTACTAGAATTTCGACTAGAATGGGGTACGTTAATCGATTTGCTTGGGACCATTAGGCTAGTCAAGTAGTGAGCCAATTCAAAATCGATAGTTTCGTATTGATTGTTGATACTACTACGGCAGGTTCCAAAATAGAGCATACTAGAGGGACTTCAGGCAGAGAGGATCGCGAAATCCATCAGCAAGCTTAAAGATGAACCCGAGCTGCTTGTTAGTTTTTGCTAACACATCTTCACAATGCGGTCGGAAAGTGAGTTCACGGTCCAATATCACACCAAGATCCCTCACCTGATCCATGCGTTCGAGAGTTTGCCCAGATAGCTTGTAGTTGAACGGTTGACGCTTTCTACTAAATGAGATCGTGTTGCATTTGGCTATACACAAATCAAGATGATGACGCTTGCTCCAGTCCTCAAACAAATCCAATAACCGTTGCAACTCCAAGCAGTCTTCAATACAAGTGAATACCTTAAATATCTTTACGTCATATGCATAGAATATTCGCTTTCCCCGTGGGAGAACAAATGAAACATCATTTATGAAAAACGAGAAGAGAAGCGGGCCTAGATTACTTCCTTGCGGTACGCCGGAAGGAATGAAAAATTCATCTGGATATGAAGAGCCGATCCTAACTTTCACAAACCTTCCAGTCAGGTACGATCTAACGGCGCCGGTGGTGTAGTGGTAAGCGTGATTACCTCTCACCCCAGCAGGCCTGGGTTCAATCCCAGTCGGCGCCGCCGGGATGTTCTGAGGCATAACATCTCTGATCACGCCTTCCTTCGGGGGCCGGGGAAGAAAAGCCGTTGGTCACCGGTTCATGAGTTGATGGGTCGATAGGTAGGGTCCAGGTGTGTGAGCTGCCTTCCTGGCACGTCGGTAGCATTGGTGCTCAGCACGGAAAACAAGATCGACGGAAAAAAACAAACCAAAGGAAAAAAAAAAAAGGTACGATCTAAACCAGTTTACTAGGTCGGAGGAAAGTCCAAGTTTCTCAAGTTTTTCAAGTAGGATATCATGGTTCACTCGGTCGAATGCAGCTTTAAAATCTGTGTACACGGCATCTACTTGCGTACCAGCGTTCATCGAGTGTATGCAGAGTGAAGTAAACTGTGTGAGATTTGTAGTGACTGATCGTTTCGGGAAGAATCCATGCTGAGAACAGAATATGCAGTTCTTGCTAGCCTCAAAGAGAATATATTTAACGATAATCTTAAAAAGTTTAAAGCATGCACTCAACGAAGTAATTTCGCGGTAGTTGGCAACATTCCTCCTTTACGGTTGAAGGAATCCCATCAGGACCAGGTGATACCGAATTTTTTTAACTTACGTAGAGATTTTTGGACGTGCTCCTCGGTGATTTGAAAAATTCCAAGTTCAAAGCTGTGCGACGGAGTATTACTGAGGGCAGCGTCGATCTGCGTTTGCGTGGTCAATGTATTTGAGAAGGCATTCTTGAAGTGATCGACAAATAGCTCACATTTACTAGACGCTGAACTAGCAGAACGCTCATCAAAGTACATGGATGTAGGTAATCCATGTTCCTTACGTTTCGTACGAACCAGAAATTTTTCGGATGCACACGAAAGTTCCTTTGCGTTCGATCAATGTACCGAGCATACAGAATACGATTGTACCGAGCAAACTTGTTACTAGCATGCACAAAGCGATGCTTCAACTGTTGAGACCTATTGCGACTATTCTTCCGAAGCGCAGATCGTCTACGGCGCTTCAATTGGCGAAGGCTGGAGTTTGACCAAGGTGGTTTCAATGGAGGACGTTGAAGAGGCACGTTAGCTTCGATGACGTGACGTATTTCCGTGTTGAAAACACCAACGATTTCATCCAGATCCAGCTCAGAATCCAGGAATTCCCAATCGATCGAGGACAGTGCATCGTTTAGCAGGTCGTAGTCTACCCGACGAAAATCAAACTGGTTAGAATTATGAAGTGGCTCGTGAATAACCGGTGACATCAATAGCAGGGTGTGTGGTGTCAGTATCAACGAGTGATTTGGATGCGTCGGAAACACAACAGCTTTGTAACCCAGTATCATTAATGAGTACCAAATCGAGAATCCGTGAATTGGAACTCACAACGCCATTTACCTGTGTCAGGCTATGGAAGCAGAATACATCGTACAACATACTACTAGCTGTCGTCAGTCGAGACCTGCTGGAATCTACTTTGAGACCTCCATCTTCTGAAGGTATCCAATGCAATTGAGGGTGATTATAGTCACAAAGCTGGAAAGCGACATCATGAGGCATCTAGCACGATAAAACGGAATCAATAGATGTAATATGCTGCTGGATGAGAAACAGATCATCTCTACGATCTGGTGGCAGATAAAGCACTCCAACGCTGACGGCACACATGGGAAGCATGATTTTAACCCAAAGCTGCCCAAGAGCATTACTAATCGGAGTCGGATCAATACAACAGCACAAAATAGATGATACGGCTATCAGCACTCGGCCGCCCCGAGTTTTTCGACTATTCAATGGGCTTCGATCTGTTCTGAATACCGTGTATGATCCGTTAATAATTGAGTAGATAGGATGCAATCGTCGAGCCAAATTTTAGTTAATACGATAACATCATACTCTGAATCATCCGCAGTTAGAAAGAAGGAGTCGATCTTCGTCCGCAGTCCTCGTACATTTTGGTAATAAATGCGCAAGTTCGAAGCAGTTCCAGTAGCATTTAGTCCGTCACATGGCAAAGATGCATTTTGAATGATTTTGGGTGTTAAGGTGAAAGCCAGACAATCGTCAGGAGAAGAATTACCGAAACAGCACGCATACTCGCTTGAAGAGTCAATTTGGGAGACCCTCGCCCTATCTCTGACCACAGGGCCGAAACGACTTTGATGCCAGGATGCGATACATGCTTGGTGAGAAAAAATCAATGGAAGTGTCTTGAATTTCTCTCACATGTACACCCAACCGAAGGATGTAAGATTTGTTTAAAATTATGAGGGATTCATCATCGCAGGATGTTAGTGGAGACCACAACGGATGATACAATATACCGAGCTGCGGTTAAATGCGAGCAAATTGAGAAAGAAAAATTATGGAGTGTAATGAATCATGCTGAAAAAGAAATTATTTCAGCAGATTCGTAGAGTTATTTCCTATCGATTGGTGTATTTGAATTTTATTTTCATCTATAAATGACCAAGTTATAAGTGTTCAAAACCTAACAGCTTTTCGTGATGGTCGCAATTTTAGATTTTCGATTTACCCCCTGTACGAAGTCCATGTCAAAAGTAGAGAAAAGGTTGCTAACTGGAATCGAACCACCAACGCCGCTGATCTCTACATGCTTCGAAATATCGATAGGTTAAAAACGAATAAGAAGCGCTCATTTCATCTCATACTCGACTTCGTATGCTTTTTCTGCTGAACGGGAATCGGAGAGAGTCATGACCAGGGCTCTACAATTTTGAAGCTCTAAAATGAACTCGTGTTTTGTTTCTCTCATACATACGTGTTCGACGCTTCATTTCTATAACGCCTAGCTAGACTATCAGCAAGAAACGAAAATAAAAAAGCAGGACGCTTAGAAGGAAAGGCTGCCTGTGGAACTTCTCGTCGTTGCTTTGCTCATCGCTTTCAATGTAACTAACGTCGATTTTCTAGTTAAACGAACCTCAATATGGCTTTCAATCCCCTTTCACGAACACTCTATCACCGCTCTTTCAATTTGTTTAAAATGCGTTGTGTCCCGTTTTCGATCATTTTTTTTAGATAAATATATGGATGGAAGATAAATTAGAAATATGACGAGTAATCTTCAAGTGTTTTGACGTGAGAAATGCTTTAAATGTGTTATTTCATTTTCCGTCATATACGTCATGAAACCTCTGTTGATGTGTTTCATGAAAGAGAAAACTATCAAAGTCGAGCGCTTTTTCGCTCATCCGTTTCGACGAAGCTTGAAAGGAAGACCAATGGAGCGACGGGAGAAAGAGAGACAAGCGATTGAACATTTGTTTGTGCACGCCGACTGAGGTTCTAGAATGCTGCGAAGCTGTTCGACTTTAACAGAAAAAGAAAGCCAGCAGTCTCTTCGTCGCATCGATTTGGTCGATTGAAGCTGATATTGTGACGCCCTGGTCATGACAAGTGTGTGCGTTGTTCTAAAATGTTATAAATAAAATGCTTGCTGGTATTGTCGAAAGCGTAGACAGGACACGAAATAAAAAGGACAAAAAGTCATTACATCGTCTGCATGGTCAACTTATATCATTCGCTGCGGAGGATGATCGGAAATGCAACTAATATTCAATGTAATGCAGTTTTGGTTTGCGTGTACCATGTAAACAAAACGTATAAAAAACGACCATCGGATTCAATTTGCAATATAACATATAGGAATCGAAATTGGAAACGGAATTGGAGCTCACCCACATATTCAAACCCAGTTCACCATCAGATAGGTGAAAGCTTCCCCTATCCGATAGTATTGTTGGTATGCGTAGACGAGCTCCGGTTAACGAAAAGAGGGCTCAAAAAGATTTGCTTACAAAAAAGGATGAGACCTTTTCAATTGTGGATCTTGAAATAGGCTATGAGGTCGTGTTGTCAAAAATGAGAAGTCACTGTAATGATATCGAATCAGCCGGCGCCGGTGGTGTAGTAGTAAGCGTGACTGCTTTCTCACCCTAATGATGAGTCTGGGTTCAATCCCAGCCGAGGACGGTGGGATTTTTCTGAGGCATAAAAATCTCTGGTCACGTCTTCCTTCGGAAGGGAAGTAAAGCCGTTGGTCCCGCCCATGTGTGTTGAATTGAATGGGTGCGATATCCTACGCAGGTGTGCAAGCTGCCTTCAATGAATGGCAATCGATGTCCGTCGGTGATTGGCACTAGATTGCGGGACAGAGACCGACGTTAAATAAAGGTTAGATTAGGTTATCTTTATTAGCGAGACTTTCAGCCAGAGGCTGGTTCATCTCTTGACGTTAAACAAAGGAATGAAGAAGACAATGAAGATATCGAATCAAATATGTAACGTTATTTTGCAATATCGGAACGTCCCTGCATGTCCCTGGTGACCACCTATTAAACCCTGGCTCACCAAAACAGGCAACTCTTGTTCACAAATTACTGAGGTAATCACGCTGAATAGAAGTTCTACTTTCCCTCTGCCTGCACAAACACTGTTTAATCAAGATAACGCACCTGGGATCGTTGCCATTCCTGGAATGGTGTGGTGCACTGGATTGACTTCTCGATCGGATTAGCATGTCAGGATAAACCGCTCATTAGATCGGTGATTGATTGAAATTACAAACGACCGAGAACGGTTTGGAAGGCTTCTGTACCTGCGCTCTCTGGTTGTTAAATGAGGCGGAAGTGCGTGATTGCTTGTTCAAATTGTTCAATCAAACATAGACACTCACCACCACTCACACACTCGCACGGACCGCTCGTCGGAATAGGTCATGAAAGTAAAACGCCATTGCGAGGCGGTCAAAGTTGTGCCACACATTGTTGCACACTAATCTGTATTCACTGAATTAGATTTTCGCCAGTAATTGGATAATTTATGAACTGACAAACCATTAACATATGTACGTGGAGGGAAATTAGCGGTTCTTCCGAGCACGTCAAACCCTTATCAAACAAACACACCGTTCCACCTTTCTCATTGCATTTTCCGCTTTCCACAGGTGTATCGTACAAGGTCGGTGCGGTGCTGAAGCAGGAAACCGGAAACTGCCTGCACTGTGTCTGTGTGGCGGGGCCGGAAAGCGAACCGGTACCACGGGTGACCTGCACGCCACTGAACTGTCCCCCGTTGATCCTGCCGGACATCCTGGATGGGGCCGGATTTTAATAATATGCCCAGCAATCGGATCCAACTGCTGTCGAATAAGGTAAGTTACCCGCCCGTTCAATCGGAATGATGAAAATTCGAAAATTTGCTGATGGATTGTATTCCATCGGTAATGAAGGTATTTTTCACCCAAAAGTTACCCGAATGGAAAAAAAGCAGATTGGAAACGTTAACGAGTTTGTACATCAATTTCTCGGGCTATGCCCCATGTGTGTTGAGGTATCCTCAGTTCTTGTTGAAATAATATCGATATCAAAGTGATGGAATGCCGCAGATAGCAGAGGTGGTAGATACATACGCGGAATTCGAATCATCGATCTGCCAAGCCAATCGATTGTGGGGAGGGGTGTGAAAGGTATTTCGGTGTAATTTTTTATTCAGAAGCTTTTCCGAAATTGGAACGATGATTTCGTTCATGCGAATCACCCTGATCCGTTACTGGGGGTTGGAGGCGGCACACCGAGGAAGCTCGCGCGTGGAATTCGCGCCATGTAATTGTGGAAGCTGTGATTTCAAATTTGATTGATGTGTGAAATACAAATGTGCGGAAATTTGATTTCATTTCTATCAATGAATCAATGTCGTTTAAATTTGTATAATTGGACTGTATTGATTTGGTGTTTTTGGATACGATGGAATCGGCGAAAATGATAACGATGACGCTTGATCCATAAAGTGAAAGATGTTCGGTGTAAAAGCTGAGTTTGTTTGCTTTGTAGAAACGGAGGGCGTGTACTCTTCATAATTCTTGATATCAATTTAAATCATATCGGTACGGAGGGGAAAATGAACCAGTTTAGATGATTTATTTATTGATTTATAATTATGATCGGTCCTATCCCTACTAGATGTATGGTTAAGTGTTTTGTTTTATCAAGTGTGATAAAACATAATTATTGACAGCCTTGCAGAACGAAGAAACGAATGGGAAATCAACTATAACTGATAAAAAATTCAATCAAAGGTCTACAGATATTCGCTATTCAAATCTAAATGATCAGGCATTAGTCAGAAAACTTTCAAATAATCAGATATTCTCTCATATGGTGGATCATTACTGTGTATTAGATTGATTATTATCCAAACTTCTTCTGACTGCTCCCGAAACACAATTACGGATATATACGACATCCTGATTCTTATTTCTCTCCGAAAAAGTTCAATAATCTGTAACCTTTCAGGATGAGCATCATTATTTCACAAGTTTTTACTGCTGGCTGATCAACTATTCAAGGTTTATCGCTAGAGTTTTGGATACGACGAAAACATGGTATAGTAGTTTTACCATATAAAAAAATAGATATAGTTAACTTTTAACATCATTTCGTAGTCCAAAATGGTGACTTCCGTTAATCAAAATAAATTCAAATATATCTAATCTAATCTAATTTAATAAAATAAATCATCCTGGTAAATGATGATGTTAGATAACGCATAATAATTTGTCTTGTCAACATTAATGTTTGCAGCACATTTTTGATATGACACAAACATCAAAACGGCCAGGCCTATTGCGTTGCATTTGCCGCAAAGATGATGATGTGAAAAGATTCGAGTTTAAATAAATCTATTTAAACAGTGATTTATTTCATGAATCTACAGGGGTGGTGTAGTGGTAAGCGTGACTGCTTTTTCATCCCAATTTGTCTGGGTTCAATCCCAGCCGAGGTCGGTGGGATTTTTCTGAGGCATAAAAATCTCTGGTCACGTCTTCCTTCGGAAGGGAAGTAAAGCCGTTAGTCCCGGACCATGTGTGTTGAATGAATGGGTGCGATATTCTACGCAGGTGTGGAAGCTGCCTTCCTGCACATTCGATTGCCGTCAATGGATGGCAAACGATGTCCGTCGGTCATTGGCACCAGGTTGCGGAACAGAGACCGACGTTAAATAAAGGAAAGAAAAGAAGAGCTAAATAAGTAGGTGATAGATATTATTAAAAGTGTGCTGTAAGGAACATAGTGGAAGGAGTAGTCAGCAAAAGGACAACCAAGTAAGCATACCATGGATCAGAACCCGACCGTTCCAACGTATAATTACCAATATGCTGCCCTATTATGCCCGCAGGACCCCGTAGTGTGCCATATCTTAGACTTACGGTGTGGTCAATCCCGAATGAGGACCGTTGAGTCAATTTCGTAATCCGGTTAATCTTTTAATTTTGTCGAACCTCCTAATGGAATCTCTTTGTGAAGAGGTTTTTGCGTGTGTTGATTTATTTCCTTTAAATTCCGTTATAATTGCTTGCTTGCTGTCAAAAGGTAAGCAATTATAACGGAATTAAAAGGAAATAAATCAACACACTCAAAAAGCTCGTCGTAATCCAGACGTCATCAGCCACCGTTAGATACCATTGAGCATTAGCTTTGAGCGTGGCGGAATTGTGAGTAGTACGTGAACGACTCGGCAAACGGTGCGACTAATAGCGTCATAAGGAAGCCAAAACCGAAGGATTACTCATATTACTTTAAATAATCGTCACGTCGGTCATAGCTTGTTATGATTGCCTGAACAATGCGTAAAGAGCAAATCGAAACATTGAACGTCGCGTAATAGTGGAATTTAATAAGGCCTTAAAACTTTTTCGTAGCCTTTTGTTTTCGGATTTGAAAGATCGTCGGTTGCAGTGGCTTGCTTACTGAGCAGAAAAACGTGGTCCCAGGTCCTTTCATATTAAAAATGTATGGTAAGATCGCTTGTTTATCGTGTATTTTGCTAAACCTTTCGTTGTCGTCGGTGCCGGGTTTGAATAGTTATAACAACTTGAGTAACGGTATGATGTGATATGAGGGGCTCGGTGGCCTTAGAGTAACCGTTTTTGCTTACTGAGCAGAACATCCTGAGTCTAATCTCAAGCCCATCCACATCAAGATTCGTCAATCGTTTTATTTGTTAATATGACTACATGGTAATAACAGCAACTCGATGATTAAAAAGGAGCTCGTTTGCCTAGTAGCAAACGTTTTTGCTTACTGAGCAGAAGACCGTGGGTTCAATCCCAACCTCCTTCGCGTTAAACGATCGTTAGGACATCAATTCAGCTTATCGTTTGCCAAAACGAATCCTGCTGCAAACCCAACCCTCTTACCCAACATCCTTGTGATTCCTCGTGGAAGTGCAGATGACTCCTCGGCTTTCATCAAAGCGAGTGTCACGTCAACACATTCCTACCCATTCCTTTCTTGACATGCGTTCAGGCGCGGCTGGTGCTGGTATTGCCTAATTCGAGATCACCAGTTTTTACACATTGAGGATGATTGCTAGTCCCAAGCATCGTCTATTGGTTCTCTGTGTAATTACAGCTGGCCTGGCAATAACAGAGTAGCAACTGTGGGCGGTCAATCATGCTCATGCTCATGCTCATAAGGAAGCCAAAACCGAAGGAAAGGATGTACGGTAAGAAAAAAGTACCCAAAAGCAAGTTCTTTTCACTCATCTCGGCACTATAGTTTAGGAACCCAAAAGTAGGTAAAGCGGGTCAAAGTAGTTTCATTTTTTTTCCTCTGTTCGGGACCTAACACCACTGCGACCAGTCATTTGATCTATTGTAGTATATCCCGTGTCCTTAGTATAGTGCATGTTGTATTACTCGATCACTATTGAGAAATGATGAAGAATTCGATTTTTTTTTACAGTTGTCATTCTCGCATTTATCGCAAGGATCCGACTCTAATTGAAAGGTCCCGCTATTAATACCCTTCGGAGTGTTGAAACACCCTCCAAAGGCGCACCCCTTTGTCAGTCAACATTGGATACCTTAGCAACAAAATTAAGGAATGACACCGATAATAACCATGCATCAGAACCCTAGTCTTAACCACTTCAAACTAGGGAACAACGGATTGAAGATTAGGAATCACATAGATGAAGACAACTAACTCATTATTTCCTTGTTTCAAGTTCATCATCGGAGGACAAAGCCGTGTCTTGTCACTATCAACAAGGCATAAAAAGTAACAAGGACTAAGATGTGTTCCTTGGATTACTGAAAAATCCGGTTCCCCTAGTGAAGTAGTCAGGACTAGGAATCGGTGATAGATCTTACATCCCGTAATGTACCACGAAAAGGTGATCTACCCACGATACGGGGAATTTAGTTTCATTTACTTGTGTGCAATTCGTATGGAATTTTCCACTCACTTTCTACCCAAAAGTAAGTTAGTTTTGCCCAAAAGTAGGTAAATCAAATTATACTCAACGTTCGGTTCCCACACTTTACTACCCCTGTTGGGTGGTTTTGTTCCTCCGTTTTTGACAACATTAGAAGGAGAAAAGGAGACAAACTAGTCAAAAGTAGATAAAAGTGAACTGGCCGTTGGGTACTTTTTTCTTTCCGTGTGGTGAAGACAGCAGCAATTGTGGTAGCGGAACGAAGAAGGGGTCCCAACAGGTCCCAACATACTGTAGAAAGTGAAGAAAGTAGGTCAGATTGGCAGAAGAAAGTGGCTGGAGAGTACACTGAAGTGAAGAGTCGTTTAGGAGAATTTTACCAGGTCGAAAAGAATAAAAACATTTTAATTTTTCTAAAAATATTGGAAAAGATTTTTTTTTATGAATTGATTTATTTGTACAGGCTCAATCGAATATACTTTACAAAGCCAAGTTATCATTTTCGTTATACATACTTAATCCTAATCTTAAATCTAGAATACTCGCGGTTGTCTCGAGGTTAGAGTAGATTTTCAATTTTATGGATGAGGAGAGGGAGGAGGAGATTTCACTATTTCTACTAAAACATGAACTTATTTCTATTCAACTTGTTATCAGCTGTATAATTTTACAATTATAAAAAAAAAATAAAAAAAAAAAATCTAACACACAAAATACAAACTAAACACAAGTTAATCATACTCACAATCTAAGGTTAATATTCTTCAGGAAAACATATATAAGTTTCATTAACTCCAGATCGCGTCTAGCCAAAACATCCCGAACTGGAACATTATGTTGTCTACCTCGAGCCCGCTATTGGAAAAGTTTTCAAACATCTAAAAAAAAAATCATGGTTTACTAATTTTTCATAGAAAATTTCTTTTCTTGGCA